ACCATCCACGCCGCTACCTAGAAGTGGACAGGAATTATATGAATGCAAAAATAAATTGACGGAATTCGACCATACAATTTCAAATTTTTTTAAAACACTACCGCATCTAAAAAGCAGTAACATAAAGGTCACTGTACGTATATTTAATGTACGAAACATGGCTAGCACATAAATCAAAATGTTAAAATTTCTAACACAAGAAAATTCAGATAGTACAGCTAGTATTTCACAATGGACAATTCAATATCAGTCAACCAGCTACTGCATCGTCTTGCCTACATAAAAATATTGTGATATTAAGGGCATTAACCCTACCAGTGTCAAACATCGATGCATCGATGGTAATGACACACTATGGGGTGTCAAGCGTCGATGCATCGATGGTAGTGCAGACGGTTACATATTGTCTTTTAACTCAGTCAATTTCAGTCCGATTTGGACTGGATTTATATCACTGTAAACAGTAGAAAACTGGCTTTATTCTGGTGTCTGCTCCATAACCTTACTTATGTTTGTCTGTTTCCAGATGTTTTGAGACAAAGACAATGTTTTCATGCCTTGTTGCGTGTTGTTGTTGTTGTTTACAAGTTAGTTGTTACTACATATATTTTCTTTATTGAAAACTCATTTTTATCTGTTTAGACTACATATTTAGATGTACAAAATAATCAGTGATTACTAACTTGTTGGTTTGCAGTAATTCATTTGAAGGTTATGTGTAATGGCAGTAAAGTCATTGTAATAGGCCTAGTGAGTGATTTTGCGACTATTCCTTGATCATATTTATGACTCTTGGCTGTCCTAAAAATTAAGTTAACCATACTAAAGATCATATTTTCTTTTTTGCTATAATATTTAGAAATAAATGGCTATTTCAGATGTTTAATTTAGTTACAATTAATCATAAAAATAGGGGCACAAACATTTTTTTCATATTTTTATTTTGTATTTTTTATCTTTCTAAGTACTTTTTTATGATAAAATAGTTATAAAAACCTAATTATTTATGCTGAATCATAATGTGCATATATTTAGCTTCAAAAAAATATATAACGAGGTATAGTTAATTTACAGATAGATTTGTAAAACTTTTTAATAAATATTACTGCAAAATGCCCAAAAATCGACTGACATTTTAACGAACAATATTAATATATTAACGACTGAATATTAACTGAGACATGGCATTAGGATACGTGACCGCATGCCGAGGCATGCACTGCAACTAACCTCCAGCGGTCACGTATCACTAAAGCTGCCATCTCAGTTAATATTCGTCCAATCTTAAAGATTAAGGTGTCAATCGATTTGTAATTTAATTGCCTTAAGAAAGTTGTTTTTGTAAAATTTTTTGTAAAATCCTTTTTGTAAAATCCTCCTGACTGTATATTATAAATTGCCGTCTTTTTGTTTTATGAATTTGGAAAATTGTCATAATTTTTTGTAGCTTTGTCTAGTTGTCATAAATGTTTGTGCAAAGTTTCAATTTCGTATGTCTAACCACTTTTCAGGAAAATATTAATAAGTGAAAAAACAAAATGGTGGCTATGTGAGTAACTAAGGACTTCCGGAGAATTTAAATATGATAATTAAATATGTTTCTTACCTAGGAACAATGCCCTAAAATATTGGTAGGGAGTTCCAGGACACCCTGTAGTTCGGTAGAATATACAAACTATTTTATATCTTTTATAAGCTAAGAATGCTTGGAACTACTGTATTTTTACTGAACAGATTATTGATAGATTTTCAACTAAAACTAGATAAAGAACTAATTTCTGATCTGACCAATAACTAGAGTGGAAAAGAATAGTTATTTGTGCAACTAGTGAGCAATTGCACTTTGCACTCGAGTTGCGCATTATATTTTTCCTACAGTTACCATAAAACAAATAAATTGGTCAAGAAACGTAACATATTTTTACACAGAAGTGAACTTTTAATAATATTACATTTAATGATACAACAGTACAACAGCTGACCAGCTGATTTACAGCCTGTGCTGCCAACGTATTTCGCGCGCATACGACCTTGTCTGCATGTTACGCGCTCACTATAGGAAAAGTAGTTTGTTACAAAATCAAGTTTGATGGCAATGTATGGCGAATTCTTAACACTACAGTAGAACTCCTCATATTATCACTACACAGGACGATTTATCCAGATAAACCAACCTATTATAAAATACCCCTGCTGCAGCAAATCTGCTGATTAAAGGAATTTCCATTTACCTGATTGGATTTTTACTTAAATATTTCTTGAAACACATCAGATTGTTTAAATGTTTATTGGGGACATTTTCCATTACAATGGAAATACAAAACACAACGGTTCAGTATCAGAAATCTGATCCCGCCCTCAGATGTAAAAAACTTTACTAACACATTACAACAAACAATATACAAACCCAACCTAAGTTTGAATAAACTAGAAAACTTCAGATAGTAGGAGTCAAGTATATGCAGTCAATACATGATTCAAAATGCAAAATATAACCAATCACAAAACACAAACAATCTATATGAAGTAGAAAACAAGAAAATTGTTTATAAATAAAAAAAATATATTAATTCTTTCCTTTTTCCTTCGAGATTTCCAAATCTAAAAAAAAATTCCCTCATGGTTACTTGACCAGGGTGTTTGAATATGATTTTCCAAGAGAAACTACTTCATAAAGATGCTTGTTTTTTATATGCTTGAAATTTTAATAATGGCTTAATTAAAATCCATTTGGTTCCATGAATTCTCACTTGTTTTTACAGGAAATCAATGCATCGGATGATAATTCTTTGGATCAAAATGAATGAATTAATTTAGTTTATATAGTTTTAAGGTTCTTTAACTGTTAATAAGTTTGAAACATTAAAAATAAAATCTTAAAATGTTCATTTTTTGGGAATCTTTCTGCGTTAATAAATCATCCCGAGCAATATTCCCATTTTATAAATTCCCTCCCACTGAGAATATTCCCGCCCATATCACCCATATCAAAAGAAAAGTCTCGTTTAAAAAAAATTTTGTTTCAGAAAAAATTTATCTAGGCTGGTAACCCATTTGCATCAAATGCCGTACCAGTACGTCAAGTACAGTATCACGGCAGTTGTACGATGTACAGTATCACGGCTGACGTACTGGTACGTCATTTTTCAGGTTTTGTTTTTTTACAAAAAATATACCATTATTAAGCTATCATATATAATAATAACTTAGTTCAACAAAATATTATATTCCTTGAATGATTTGATAATTATATAATACAGGCAGGTGCACACCTATTTTTTAGGAGTATGAAAAATAGTGTTAACATATCCTATACATTTTTTTGTTATTTTTAGCTATAGAATACTATAAACCATTATAAAAAATACTCTAATATATATTTTTCTTTTTAATGTTTCAGTGATACTGGGATTTTAGGTAAATAAATAAGACAATGCAAATGGGTTAAAAATATTTTTTTTTATAGTCCTGTACAAAACAAAAAACTTAACATAAAGTTACAGTTAACAGTTTTTGTGAACACTTTAAGAAGGAACCAATTCAATTTGCCAATACCCCTTTATACCTACAACAATATAGTGTAAGTGTTTAGTTGAAAAAATGAAAGCCAAACATTTACAGTCTTATTAATTACACTGATTATTTATCAACAAAATTCAATTCAATTCAATTCAATTTAAATTCTCTTTATTCATTCACAGTACAAGTTTTTATACAATGAATAGCGTCAAATAAATACTAAGATGAATTATGCTTTACTTATCGCTAAAACAATCATTATCTTTTCAAAACAAATTTTAAGCTTAAGAATAATAAATAAAACAAAATTAAATCAAATCATCTTTCTAAACTATCATTTATGATTTCTCTTGAATTCCAAAATTCATCCAAAGAATACAAAGACAATGAAAGGAGATAATTTTTCAATCTTTTTTTAAAAACGTCAAAACGTTTTTCCTCTATTATAACTTTAGGTAAATTAAATAAGAATTTTATGCCAATGAAACTACATTTCTTCTCAAAAAACTTTAATTTATGTCGTTCAACCTGCCTAGTATGCCTTAATTTATAGTGTAGAATATTTGTACTATTAGTTTGGAGGTTTAATTTTTTTACATGTAATATAGTTTCATAAATATACAAGTCATAGACTGTCATAACACCTAATTTAGAAAAAAATGGTTTCATTGATTGGCGTTTATTTTTAATTTTGAAAATAATTCGGAGTGCTTTTTTTGATGATGAAGAATTTTATCCAAATTTTTCTGGGTAGTTCCTCCATAAATTGCTATACCATAGGATATGTGAGAATTTATTAATGCAAAGTATATGGTTTTTAAAGTATCAATATCACACACCCTTGACATTTGTCGCAGGGCGTATCTACCTTTTGACATTTTATCAATTACATGCTCAACATGCTTATCCCAATTTAGGTTTTGATCCAATATCAATCCGAGAAATTTCGTGTACTCCACTTGACTCAAGTTTGAATTATCAAGGTAAATATTCGGGTTCAATTTACATCTTGATTGTTTTGTGGAGAATGATACAAAATTTGATTTACTGTAATTTATTAGGAGATTTTTGCTACTTGAGAAATCATTAATTGATAAAAGATTAAAAAAAGATTGAATAAAACATCAAGTTAAAACTATCTATAGAGTTTTGAAGCATGTCTGACATGGTTACCAGTAAAAAGCAATATATAATTGAGTATCCATAAATTTGATGTAATGTGGCTCCATTCCAATGTCATCACTATAAGCATCTGATTTTTTTCAATCATGGAGTCTTGTCACAGACGTGTTTGTTTTGCAATTTCAACAATTTCGCCACAATAAAAGCTCGGCTCAAGCTGGACTTTATAAATTGGTGCTTTATCATTCAAGATTTTAGGCTAAGCTCGGCTCAGTTTACAAATCAAACTTCATGCACGCACAGCTCTAGTTTTGAACAATTTTTAATTACCTTATTTTACAACAGCTTATTATTTACAGGGCTTGTAGATTAAAGAAGAAAGCCCAACACGAAGCCAACAAAATAAAACTTCATGGTCTTGAAACTGAGCACAGTAAGTATACTAGATAATTAACCTAATAGTTAAATAACTATCTTCAGATTACTGTTTAATATTAGCATGAATAAAAAAATCCTTTTTGGTAGGCCTAATTGTTTTGTCCTTAGAAGAAGGTTTATAATTAATTATTTTTCATTATTTCATAAAAATTGTTTTACCATGTCAAAAGAATGGTTGAGAATTTAAAAGTCTGTAATATTACATGTCATTCATTCATCATTAACATTAATTTCTCTATTATTTTATATATTTTCTCCCATAATGTTTGTTAATGGCCCTGATAATGTTTTATCAGTTATTTAATATGCTTCTCCTTGTTAATGTATTATTTTCTCCAATTTTGTTCATTGTTATATAATATCCCATCACCCCGCAGAAATATCATCCTATTTTATATTACAATATAATATTTATGCCAATTCTCTCCATATCTATCCTGTACTTATCAAAAAACCAACAATAATCATTTACTTAGAATCTTACTAATATTGTAAATGTGAAAGTTTGTGTGTTTGTTTGTTTGTTTGTTTGAAGTTCAATCATGCATTAACGACTGGACGGATTGGGCTGAAATTTGGCATGATGATAGCTCACATTCCCGATTAACATATAGGCATATTCTTTTTTCAAAAATCCTTTCGGGCTCCGCCCCAGTGGCTATGCAGTTCTACATGTTAACCTTATGACTATTCATATTTAAAAGGAAAAAAGGAATTAAAGAATTTAGTCAGCTGTTTCAACTAGAAAAAGTTGGTACTATTATATGCAAAAGCATTAAAAAGTTATAAGATTTACCAACAGGGTGCAGCACTATTATTTTTTTGCATTTATGATAACAGCTTATTTGAACTATAAGCTTTAAAAAAACTGTGATACGCAATGAGAACTGTCAAAGTAGGATTGTTTACAGTTATGTTTATGTTTTTAATTTCATGAATAATTTGTGATATTTTGCAAACTTTTAATAATCTATTTTTCCCTATTGTTTAGGTGAAGTGGTAGAAAATTTTGGATATGGTAGATGTGTAATACTATAGTATACGGTAAATTTAAAGAAGCAAATTTTATCAAACTGTGTCCTCCCCCATTGCAAATGCAAAGCTCGAGTATAACTGCAATAAGTGTTTTGTACTTATATGCCGACCCCGTACGAAGGACGGGTACTCTGCTAGTAATATATAATTGTAAGAAAATTGCAATATACCGTAATAATAACATCTTAAATATAGTATTACTTTTCAAAATTATCCAAAGAAAATCAAAATTACTGTGGCAAGTGTCTTTTATGTGAACTAACCAGCTGTACATCATTTCAACAATGGACATGGACTTCCTGAGCTTCAACCATTGCCTCTCCCCATATCCTGCCAACTCTTCACAGTGTTAACATCATTTTATTGGACATTGTGCTTGACTTTCATCCCAAAGTGTAATCTAAATTTTAAATTGTTTTAAATCAAAGTATTAGGGACAAGTGCCTTAAAAGAGTACCAAATTTTAACCAATCCCTATTTTATTTATTACATATGGTACAAAGGTGAAGACAGACACTCCAAATTTGGTAACCATCATCAATCTTGTTTAAATAACTAAGGACAAATCTTCATTGGACATTTTAATCAGCACAGCCTTATAGGCCCAATTAACTTAACTCATCAATATATAGACCTACATATTTCAAATTGAACTTTTATTCAAAATTTTATCTTCAAATCTTATTTTATCTCTGTGGGGGAAAGGTAGTTGAAGATAAGAAAAAAAATAAAGAAATAAATCGAAGGACCAGCCTAAATTAGGCAAAGATGTGAAACAATTCAAAATTGATATTGTTGGGATTTATCAGCTAAATATTTTACATAAATAAATTATATAAAAGAAGTAACAAGACAAGTTTCAATTTAATATACAATGTTGTTCAATGTCTGAGAGTAAATTTGTCAAAAAAAAAACCTTATATTGAAACTCACCGAGAATGTCAATCATTATTTTCAAGTTCATTGATGGAACCGTCTTGATAGATTCTTAGCTTCTTGAGGTATTTAAGTTCAAGTTCATTCCTGTCTTGATGATTAAAATATCACTTTTAAAATGTCTTTTCTTTCATGTAGAATTTAACAATGTTCACAATATGGATTGTATAATGTAGTTTAAAGTAAAATCCTTATATATAATACAAGAAAGCGATTTCTACGAAACACTACTCCTCCGTTAATAATGGACGGATTTTTACAAACGACGTGTCAAAATAAAGTATTTTTTGTGTAGACGCCCCTTTCACCAATTCCTGTAATAAGCATCCTTGGGCTTTGCCCCACAGGCCATCAAAGTTGGAGTTTCTCCCATAAGATTAACATGGGGGAATCTAAATATTTAATTGGAAACTTTGTCCCCACTAATTTGAGAGAACGGCTGGGCGTAGAAACTTGGTAGAGGTGTCCAAAGAAAGGTCTTGGTCTGTAGATGAGTTATCAAAAGAAAAACTAAGCAAAATCCTTTAGGACTCTGCCCCAGAAGCCTTTAAAGATCCCTTCACAGAGTTGTTTACATTTTGGCCATGTTAATAATACTTTTTAATGAAACAGCTGTTCATTTTTAAATTTTATTTCAAACAACATACTTACTGAATTCTATCAAATAAGTATTTGCAATGTTATTTTCTGATTTAACCCTTTGAGTGCCAATGTCCGGGGAACCGGACGTTTTTTAAACGAGCCAAAAGTGCCGACGTCCGGCCGACCGGACGTTTTTAGAACGAGCCAAAAGTGCCAACGTCCGGCTGACCGGACGTTTCGTAATGATCGAACAGTTGTCATAACAACCGAATGGATACTCGGATTCTTTTAACCCATATATTAACATTGAGTCGAAAGTTACTAGATGCGATACATCAATTTTCGTTGGTCGAAATATCAAAAATTTGATTTTTACGAAATTTTAACCTAAAAATCGCCAGATCGCGCTCGGCATTTTTAGCGCGACCTTCGGGAAAAATCATCGGCATTTTTTGAGCGTTACTTATATTTTTTGCCTGGCACTCTAAGGGTTAAAAATTGATTTTCTTCTTGATCATCTCATATCTTGCAATATAACGTTCCATTTTGAAATCAGTGAAAAATCCTTTTATCACAGCAATTCTGAAATTATTTCTTATTGAACTATCTTATATCTATTGTACGGGTTGGTCTCTGCCTTTTTCACCAATTTTGCCTACATTTTATCATATTATTCTACACATATCAAATATTTATGTAGAAATATCTGCTCTTATTGTGTCTAATAAAATCCAAACATATAAACCTTGCCTAAAATGGTACCCATCTTCACAAATTATTTGCACCTGCCTATATTACGAACTTTGGCGCACTGGGTTGGTAATATTATTGAAAATAACATGACATTTTGGCTGTAAAATATGGTACACAGAGAAAATACTATTTAAGCAGCTACTGTCATGACAGAAAGGTCATATTTCTTTTAAACTAGATCACATAATCCTTTATGAGATACGTTGATTAACAATGCATGTAAACGTCAATATTTAGGTAACAGCCAACTTACAGTGTTTTTGCCTTTTGGAAATGTCCTATTGCTATGTAATTTGCCTTATTTGTTGCCAATGAAGCCGCAAGGCCGTATAAACTAGGAGGCCACTAACAGTTCAAAAATAAAATCCAACTTCACTTCAGGTATTCCACTACACCTAACATTCCGTAGAGAGATTATATTGACAACTTTATGTTATTGATAAGGCTGAGACAACTAACTGACATCCTCCATGTCAAGGAATTACAGCTTTAACAGTAACCCCACAATCAAAAATTTCTCAAAACTATGCTAGAGGGTTCATTCATTAGCACAGAAGTAGATATGAACTGACGCGACGTGACGAAAGAAAATCAAACTTACACTGTAACGGATATACCTCCCTTTGAAGTTAGAATATGTCTTCCCAAAAAATGTTTTCTTTTGAAATAAAATCATATTACACTGATGAAATCACGAAAGTGTTTAACTACAAAAGATCCACCAATACGATTTTAATACTATTTAAAGGTTCTTACAAAGGAAGAGATACCATATAACATACTAATAATAACTCCGATGACGTACGGTATGGTGAATATTTTATTCATTGAATGACCAACCAAATTTGGTAACTAACACAATTAATATCATTATTGTTTTTACACTTATTACTCTTTAAACAATGCTAAATGCTCAAAATATGTATATTTTACCCAATTTATCGCAGTTAGATGAATTAACGTAAGCCTTGAAAGTAACCGTCGATTTCGACGGGTTTCACCTAGTCTGTATATATAATACGCTAAGCCGATTTTTGTGAACAGAACTCCTCCCTCATTTTTGGACCGATTTTGATGATTAAAGTGTCAAAAAAAATGCCCTAATCTGTAGTTTTGCAAAGTGTTTTTGGTTTTTTGATATCTTTATTAGTTTGGTCAGGATCTTCCATCAAAGTTGGATTTTCTCCCATAAGATTAACATGGGGGAATCTAAATATTTACTAGGAAACTTTGTCTCCATTAATTTGAGAGAACGGCTGGGCGTAGAAACTTGGTAGAGGTAGAGATAGCATACTAATGCCCATTTGAGCCGTGTCCATATTTTGTTAAATTAATAGTGGTTTATAGCAACTGGATAAAATAAATTCATCTGCAGAAGAATTCGATTGTGCTCTTACCGTTTCTAATAACATCCAAACACAGAAACCTTGCCTAAAATAGTACCTATCTTGACAAATTATTTGCAGTGGCCTATATTACGGACCGTGGCCCACTGGGTTGGTAACATTATTGAAAATAACACGACATTTTGGCTGTAAAAATGGCCCAATGAGTAAATACTATTTAAGTAGCTACTGTCATGACAGAAAGGTCATATTCCTTTCAAACTAGATCACATCATCCTTTATAAGATACGTTGATTAACAATGCATGTAAACGTAAATATTTACGTAACAGCCAATTTACATT